TAATGGTTTGGTTGGACTATCTTAAAGGTCATTTCCAGCTAAACGATTCTATGATTCTATGATTTTTTAGTCTCTTAAAACCAGGCCTCTCTGATTTGCCATTCTGCAAAGGTCATCACCTACTCCCAGTGTGTTTGGTAGAGGAGGGAAGACTTGGTAATTCACATGTGCAAGTTTATATGAACAGTAAAGCTGTCTGGGCCCTCTCACCCTTCAAAGCAGTGTGCTACTGTCAAGACCCATCTCTTTGCAATCAAAACACAGCCACATATGTGTCCACTTGGCTCACTCTGCAGGGAGCATTGCCACGGCCATCGGCCTGGGCGACTGGTCCTACCACCAAGGATCCTCTTGTTCATGCGAGCAGCTGGGCGACGGCCACAGTCTAGTGAGGAACAAATGCAGAAGGGAGTTAATTGTTACCACAAAGCAGGTCTTGTATGACAAGACCTTCTGCAAGAAAACTGGGCACATAATGATATTAACAGAGTCATGAAATTACACTGAACAATACAGTAAATGAAGTCATCAATAACCACACAATAATATCAAACACACTGAGCCATTTTCATCCTTCCTTTATATCAAAGGATTTGCTCTCCTGATACTAATTTTGACCGGCTCAGCCTAAAATATTAACCAAGCTAAGTTTGGGATCCTGACTTCCTTTCTCTCAGGAGTTACCAGGCTGCCCTTGGGAAGGTTTCCTGGGTTTACGTCCTTGTCTTTCTGTCAGCTAGCAACATGTTTATACTATCCATAAGAACTGCTTCTGGAAAATCTGCTCAGCAATAATGAGGCTTTTCTTAAACCAGGTATGTGGTGAATGTCACACAGTTTATTCAGCTACACCACACCAAGCTTGCTTTGCCTGTGGAAATGGCTAAGGGAGAATATTTGAAGATTTGAAGACATTCCAGTACTCTGTCCATTCTATTTTATAAGCCACTTCCACTGGAAGTTATACCAGATTCCCATCTGCCAGACAGTTACTTTTTCTGAAATAGCCCTTCACTTTTGTTTCACTTTATATTCTGGATTTGTAAGATGGCAGACATTATTTATCCTGTTTATACTCAGTCTGATTTAGAGAACAAAAGAACACCACCAGTTTCTGTAATCAGCCTCCCAAGGGAGGATATGCTGCCATTGCATAGACCCATGGGAATTCAGTGGTGAAGAAATAAATCGGAGCAATGGTTATTTGTAACTTGTAATTCTTACTGTGTTCATGTGACTTCAGAGGGCAAGGGGTTTAAGTGTACTTAAAGCAACATATGTCATAAGCAAACACCTTTGACAGGCTCCTATGAGCTACTGTTTTTTTCTGATAAGAGTAGTAAATGTTTTGATTAGTTTCCCAAATTTAGGTCATGCTTTGTGATTAATTTTCCTTGTGTCAAGCTAATTCATAATTTAAGTGTTCTTCAGCTCTCCTTGTCTGTAGAACATGATTTCACTGAAGATGAAGAATTTCTGCATTTTCAAACCACTTAAACTTGCACAATCTGCTGTGCCTATAAGCTTGGTAGGTAGCTTTCTATTTCAGGTTCTTCTGTCCCCTTGAGCCTCACAACTAAACAGATCACAGCTTCAACTCCCAGGCAGACAGCCTGCTAACCACTCTGGTGGTAAAGGATATTTTCAGCAGGAAGTTTTATCAAATTAATTTTTGGAACCTGACTGCTGACAAAATTCATTTAGTGGGAGCAGGACTGGGCTACTGCAATACACAGCCTCGTAGTCAAAAAATAAGAAAAGCTGATGAAACTGAATAGAGTAGGAGGAAAAAAAACAATGCAAAACTGGATGTTGCAGAAGTCTAGTCAAATTTCAGAATGAATCCGCATTAAACATCTGCATTTGTTAATTTAACACATCTTGAAAAACATCTTTGTTTTATATGCATTTCTCTCTTACCTTCTTTAGTGCAAAAGAGAGCCACTTTGCTTCTGCTTCGACACATCTGTCTAAATATTGAAACAAGAACATGGTGGAAATCTCAATTAATTGATGTAATTTTTGGTAATTTGCAAATCAGCACAGGTATTGTACTCGTTGTGAACCAGCTGTTAAAAATTCCCCCAAACTGTAAAAAGAAACACAAGGAACTTCTTATGCCAGATCATCCATGGTTTCCAGCGTCTGCCTGGAGATAATTCAAAATATTAGTTCAGCTTTACAATACATTTCCTGAGTGGGTGCTACATATTTTGCAGACTACCTCGGTCTCTGGGCACTGATCCAGCTCTGAGGTCAGCTGGGATGTACAGTCTGTCAAGTCTTAACTTATGGCACCTGAAAGAACAGAGATTGCCATTCTCCTCTTCCTTACAGCTGAAGGATAGAATTTTCTTTGAAATACCTTTGATAACAGATGATCTTTCATGCCCTAAAAGTTTGGGGTTTTGAAAAAATCCAGGAAGTTTGCAAAAGTAAGTATTAAAACAACAAAAAATTATCATTTCTGTTGAAAATTTTCAGATGAGAGAGGAAAGAAGTGATTCTTTGTCAAAGGAAGGGAGATCCTTGTTAAAACAGCGAGCGTTGTTGCTCAACTAGCTGACTGCCTTTTTATTTCCACCACTTTTTCATTCCTACCATGTACGTGCTTTTCTGAGGCAGATGCAGAGCTAAATTAGACTGGATACACAGATTAGCTGTTCCCCAGCTAATTCTTTGCAGGCTATAATCTCAGTAGGTAGGCAGTATCTTTAAAATTGCAACCACCTAAAAAGAGGCTGCATGTGATTTTAAGTCATAGATACTAATGGGGGCACAAAAACAGAGTGCCAGCAAGCTCACCAGATTAGCTTTAATCTGTGATTTGACCCAACCTCTGTCCCTTACACTGCATATGCCCCATTCATATACTGTGCAAATCAGTCTACTTTCTGTTCCTGAAAACACAGACCATAAAATTCTGTTTCTAGAGATAGATGACCAGTTTCAGGAAAGAAAATTTTGTGCACAATTTTGAGGAGCATTTGCACTCCATAAAAAAAATATACAGAATATAGCTGAGACCAGCCACACTCATGTTTCACACTCGTTTCTTTGACTTATCAAATAGCCAGCTCTAAAAGAGAAAACTTTAAGCTTTTCATGTGTGCATAGCCTGCACTGTGCCATTCCCTCTTATCAGAACTTCATGAAACTAGTGGTGCATTTGTTGGTTCTTGCTCAAATTCCCAATAGTCCAGGAGCCTGACAGCTCCTTTAAACATACAACATAGTCCACAGCACAGACATTTTACATGCTGAAGCTGATCCAGATGAATACACCTAGACTGCAGGGCTCAGGAGCACTTCCCAGCTCCTGGGCTTGTCTTGCTTCGTGTTGGGAAGAGACTAAACGCATATTGTCCCCGGTACAATTTGCTTTACACTAGAAAGCAAGCCTGGCACATAAGAAGTGAGGCAGGCCTGCAGGTCCTCCAGTGGGATGACTTGGAGATCAGTATGGGATGCATCTGATCTGCAGCACATGCACAGCCAGTGAGAGCCATCTAGACAGGATGCATGACGCAGCCAAACAAAAAAACAGCCTCACTCTTCATGCAGATAAGGCCTCTTATCTTCTCACTTCTTGTTACCCATTTTCTGGATTCGGGGAGACTGGAACATCTGTTCCTACATATTACTTTCATCTCTGTAACAGCTTTAGCAATAATCTTCATTACTGATGTTTTCTCTCCTTTAACTTGTACTTCGAGCGAAACTAGATCTTTTGCTACTAGATCTTGTAACTCAGAGGCTTCAAATCCATCCCTTCACACTTACTTCCTAGCAGACCACTTTCAAACATGGGAAAGTACCTTGAAATTTCTGCTTTGCACTTCAGTGACTGAACAGAATATGATTGTGGACCTGCCCCTGCATCTGGTTGCAACCCAAGGTGTTTATTCTTGTATTACTCTGAAGAAAAGCATTTAGATACCATTAGGCTAGTGGAAAGAGACAGTGAGAAAGGAAAAGAAAAGAGTTAAAAAGAAAATTTTCAAGTATCAGGCACCATCCTGTAATAGCCCTTCTTCTAGATGAAGAAATAAAGATGAACTTAAATGAATAGGGAAAATACTACTGGAAAACAGAACTAGTACAAAGCTGAGATGTAGAAAAGCAAAAGTAGGCACTTGCAGACACAATCTTTTTAGTATTCTGCCATTACAGAAAAGTTTCACTACAGAAAATAATGGAGCCAAGCAAAAGAAAAGTAGGTGTATTCCTCAGATTTATGTCTTCACACATGTTGTACCTCTGCATTTAGCCAAGACAGTCTCCCCTTGTGAAACAGAAGGATTTTCTATGGAAGAAGGATGTTCTGAAATCTAGGCATTTGAAGGAGAACAGGGAAACAATGAATTTGCTTTTTGAAGAATGCAGTTGCAGATGCGGATTAGGTGGCTCTCCCAGTTTTGTCCTGGATGTTTAAGTTTATTGGCTCTTCAGTCTCAGAGTCACACTTTGAATGTCTCAACCATGAGATACCAACTACCTGTTTAGTTGAGTTAATTAAAAGGAATATACCACTGTCTGAAGCCAGAGGAGCTGCTAAGGAAACCTACTGTAAGTGGATATAGCTTCTGCTGAAGCAGCTGTGGTCACTCCAAATGTATGAATCCAAACTACACGGGCTGCAGAGGATGGTAAGATGTTGCTGCAGGTTTTGCTATATAGTACTTACTGGACTTTCTTGGTCAGCAGGGATTTAATGAAGCTGTCTGTTCCAGGTGCTTCAAGGGCATCACCTCTATGTCACTCAAATACTCCTAGTCTAGCAGAATGGGCCCCTGAGGATTCACAAGGTGGACTCAAAAGAGACTACAGTTGTAGTAGACACTAAAATTGTTATAGACTGTATCTTAACAACTCACATGAGTATGTGCTGGGATTTATACACAGATACCTTGGAAAAAAAAGAGCTTACCAAAGGACATTTGCCATCCTCCATTGATAAGCGACTACACACAGCAGTGAAATAAATCTCATTTACCTGTTACTTACCCATTCACTAAAAGTGCGTGTAAAGTGGATGCATTTTTATTCTTCCAGTCTGAGTGCAGATTCAGCCATTTTTGATGCTGCATTTCCTCATTCACTATTACAATTTCTGTTTTGGATGGTCCTCTGAAACAAATGAAAGACACTCATAGACCTTCCAGTAGGTTTCGGTGTTACAATTATGAAGGTCAAGAGGCCCTAATGCCTCCTGTTTACTCCAAAGATATACAGCTGAATGTTATGTCAAAGCCACGTGTGGCAGAATCATAGTTAGGGGAATGAAATCACCCCAAGAAGTCAGGCCAGCTAACATATTACTGTCACTTATGTTGTATTTTCTGACAAGAACCAGAATTGGAATCGGGAGCAGCAAGAGCCTTCTGGTGGCATTTACTGTAGTGCATACATTGACATACTGTTTCTACAGTTTCTTGCCTCCAAAAATAAAAAAAAAATACATCTTCATATGTAGAAGAGGTAAAAGAAAAAATATTTTCTTACATTCCTATCTTTGGAAATCCATTACAATTGAACAGTAAAGAGCAGTCTGGGTCTTGTTAATAATACCTGACAGTATCTCTAAGTCCAAGCTGTCTGCTTTGCGAAACAGAACAAATCACGGGTGACAATGTCAAACCTGTCCTTCTGCAGCAAATTAACAGGAATATGAAAGTAAGTTAGACTGGTTCACCAGGAGATAATTTCATATATCCACTTCCTCAGTTTAGTTATTGCCTGATAGACTCAAGCCACTGAAGAAATTGCTGTTCTAATAAATCTCAATTGCTAAATGGAAAAAAGAGTGTATTTTTTAAATGGCTTTACAAGTCATGCAACTTTCCAGCACTGAACCATCCATGATTAGCCATCAATCCCTGTCAATGACAAGGACTTTCAATGACTACTCTCCTGCACACTGGTCAATGGCCAAATTCTAAATCCTAGTTCATGGAAAAGAGAATGAGAAAAGTTCAGAAAAACTGTGATGTGCCCTAAAACTTGCCTCTGAACCCAGTCTCTCATGGCAGTACCTAGTAATGCCAGCCAGGTTATTAGTTTAAGTCCAATTTTCAGTATTAACTATATTTCTTAAATATTTTCAAAAGTGCAGCACCCTTTACTCACTTGATTGCATAAATTAACAAAGATCAAAGAAAGAATTCTGTTTTATGGTAAAGTTGTCAATGCAACCATATGGAAATGTTTTCAACAGGGCTGGCAGAATTAACTAGGCTCGGAGGTCACAGCCCTGGATCCTGCCTGTTACATGACTTATTTTTCAGAACCTTCTCTGGGCATATTAAGCAAATATCATTCCATGATCTACTACCCAGAATGTGCAGGCAGATAATAACAAGCATTTTTAAACACTGTGTTATTCCTCATTTAGAGAAAGCTGTTTGCTGCAAAAAGAGCTTTCTTCCTTAGTGCCTGCTTGTAGAAAACACATAAAACTCTCCTCTCTTGCTTTCCATCATTTGCTTATTTCCCACTCTTTTTCCCACCAAACATACACAAACTTTTTTTCTTAAGATGATATTCTGCCTTATGATCTTCTGTGAACAATTGTTTACCATTTCATAACTGTGTACAGTGATATTTTATGTAGCTGTAAACAGTGCCTGATCTATAAAATATGTAACTCAAAAATGTGCAAAAAGGTGCAAATATCATGCCATCTGATGCCTCCAAATCTGTATTATCCCTAACACCAGATTATTTTGCTGAAACCTGCAGTTCTGAATTACAGATTGTGATGCTATAATTATCATTAAGCAGATACGTACTTCTAAGCCAGGGCAACAACCTACAAGACACTTAAGCCTGTATGAAACTTTATAATTATTAATATAAGGTATTATACTTAGTAAAATTATGGCTATGGCCTTTTTCCTTGGTGGTCACAGCTTGATATAATACACTCAAAACCAGTATGCCCTAATTTATGTCTTTAGAATGCCTTCTATAAACATTTATAGAGCATTCCCCCCTTGATGATGTTTATACAAGGTTTTCTTTCAGATAGGCAAGGGCCACCCCTTGTCTCCTTTCATCTATTTTAATTAGAAATAACCAGAATAAAGGGGACCTAAGAGCCTCATTTCTAGCTGAAAAAAGCTGGAAACAATGTTAGCATTTGTGTAAAGACCAGAGCATATGGGGAATTGCCAGAGAATGACAGAACATGAGCTAAAAATGTTAGAGGAGGAGTAAGGACTCGAGCTAAAAATGTTAGAGGAGAAGTAAGGCCTCGGGCTCGTGTGAGCTTCTGGGTCTGAGACTTTCAGCGTCCAGGGAGAGGCTGCTATGCCAGGAGTATACATTACACACGGGACTGTAAAGCACTCAGAGAGAAGGAGGGAGGTAGAGCAATGGGGACTCATTTTAGCCAGACCCATCCTGTGCTCCAGAAACACAGCAGGCAGCAGATTCTACTTGGCCCCTCTTGGAGCTGTAGCACACAATTTCTTCTGTGGACACACTCTAAAGAAAAGGGAAGAAGGATCTTTCAATGGACCGAGCTGTGTCAACTCATGGTGTATAATTTCTTCATAAGAATATTTTGCTTTACTGAGTTTCTTACATACTCCAACAACAAGCCTATAGCTGCCAATTACTTTAAGACATCAGTCTACATCTTCGACTTCAAAATTAGCTCTCTTGTCAATTTTTTATTTTAGTGGCCTGCCGAAGTTGACCTAAATTAAGTCAATCTGCACAAAAGTCATGTGTGTGGCCATATGTAACATCTTTCAAGATTTCAGGCAACCCAAATAAAGAGCCTTTTTTATGAAACACTTTCAGAAGGCTTTTTCACTTCTTTGCAGTTTTCTTTTTTTTTTTCCCCCCTTTGGTTTGCATATAACAGAACAACTTTGTTCAGAAACTTGGTGTTGATTTTAGACTAATGCTTTTAATTATTACCCATATTGCAACAATAAGCAAAATTGAAACTGTATTTGTTGACTGAAACTGTATATACCTGGAACACAATGTGCAGTTTTGAGGCCCCTCAGTTTAAGAGGATATTCAGAAACTGGACAGGGACACGCAGATGGCTTTCAAATTTTCTAGGGGCCTATGGCACTGACGCACAAGGAGAAGTTGAGGGAATTGGACTTGTTTACTCTTGTGAAGAAGCAGCTAAGGAACAATTCAACAGCAACCTGCAACTACTTGAAGAGGAGTTAAAAGGTGATGGAATCAAACTTTCCTCAATAGCGCTGCATTGTAAAACAAGAGGAAACGGCCTAGAGTTGCAGCTTTGGAGATTCATAGTGGATGAAAGGAAATACTTTTTCACTAGGAAGGTGGAGCAGCCCTGGAACAGACTGTGGAATATCAGTCCACCAAGGTTTTCAAGACTTGGCTAAACAGAGCAGTGGTTGAGCTGATCTCGTTTTGGCGATAGTCCTGCTTCAAGTGGGAGATGGACTTGATGTTCTCCAGATGTCTGTTACAATGGGGATTTTATGGTTCTGTGGCACAGCAGAAATACACTGTAGCAACCAGTACCTATGCTGAAGAGCTTAATCTTAAAAAAGGCTAACAGTTACTAGAACAGATGTTTCACACATAAGAGCATCTTTTAACATTACAGTACAGTCACTGAAATATCTACATCACTTAAGTTTGTTAGTGGTATCTGCAAACATAAGACATTCATACCATGGTAACAATAATGCATGCCTTTTGAGTGGTAATCTTTGGACCAGATCCTCCACCAGGCTTCCAAGATAACTTACAAATCCTACTGGAATCCACAGGACTTTAAAACATCTCATGTATTTGGATGGAACCATTTGAGTACTGAAATATTATTTTAAAACCCATGGGGTTCTAAGCATCTATTACTGAATAGATCACAAAAATTTAACTGACTGTCTCATGTGTCTCATATTAAATATCTGCAGTAAAACTTTATATCCAAAAGAACTATGCTGAAGCTTCTGAGATCAAACCACTCAAACATAACACTCAATGAATACACTTTAGGGTGCCTGTAGTCTCAGTCTATGGACTTCTCCAAGACCACATCAAAAGTGCCATAGTTAAGTAAATTTACAATAGACGCACAACAAACAGCAATTTTTTATGATTTTTTTTTCCGCTCTACATTTAAAGTGATAGAAATACTAAGTTTAGTGGTAAAAGACAAGCACGTCTCTCACCTAGATTTTCATTAGGTGCTCTGCACTGTTTTCAAGAATGAAATGGGATTAGGACCTGTGAAAAAAATCCTTCCACAAGGCTTTCTTTCACTAAACAGTTAACTATCAGAAAATTCAGCCAAAAGGAATCTTATGAGGCCATCTGATCCAGTCCCCTAATCCAAAATAAGATCAACTATATTTAAATTCTCTCTGACAGATTTTTGTCTGCCCTGTTTGTAAAAATCTCTAATGATGGAGAATCCTCAGCATTGCCAGGTGATATATTCCAGGATTTACAGTTAGCAATTTTTTTCTAATGTTTGTTCTAAATCTTCCTGCCTGTCATTTAAGCTTCTGCCTTATTTCCACTGGAAATGGAGAACACTTTATTCCTTGCCTCTTTGCAGCAGCCTTTTACATATTTGAAGGCTCCTATACCTCTCTCCCCCTGACTGACCACACAGCGTTTTCAACCTTTCTTCACAGACCATGCTTTCTAGGTCTCTCGTCATTCCTGCTGACCTATTCTGAACTCTCCCCATCTAGTCAAAATCTGACACAAGCTGAATACACCAGAGGGATTACACATAAACACTCCTGGTTAATTCAGGCCATTTCTCCAGTCTGTCAAAAAATTTTTGAATTCTAATCCTGTCCTCCAAAATGCTTTCAGATCCTCCCAGCTTGATGCTGAATGAGAAAATATTAAGCGTGATCTCCACTCCATCACCTGAATGACTCGTGAAAACACTGAATATCATCCCAGACACACTGGGATGTGTCTAGCCCCCCACCGATACATCTTTATGGTTTGACAGTGAATCATCAACAGTCTCGTATCATTTCATCTTTGTCCATATCTCCTTACTTATTTCAAAAGTCATTTCACATAGTGTGAAAGTTAGAAATATATCGCATCTACTGTTTCTTCCCTATCCACAGTGACTCCGCCTTTTCAAGGAATAAATTAAG